ACTCGATCACCAAGACTCACCCGTTTCTCAGTACTGTTGACACTGGTGTAATTAATGTTGACTGACTAACCTCATCCGGGACATTGTGAAGCATTGATTGTTTGTGTGTTTATTATGAGTTATTTACGTCAATCATCTTCTGATCACAAAGCGGCTTGTGTTTTGTAGATGGCGTGGTGGTGTGAGGTCCTCGAGCGACGTCATTGGGTCCTCGAGAGACGATCCATTGGTAGGCTAGTTGATTTAAACCTTGATTCATTACGTCAATGGTCCAGTATTTGACGGTAGGTGTACGTAATATGATAGAAACTTGCTAAAGTGACGTAAATAGACACTTCCTACTAAAGTAGTATTACGATTTGAACTTTGCCAGAAGCACGAATCACATGGTCCAGTATTGCAACATCCTTCCCCACTGCCACTTGATCCGAAGTAGATTTATAACTTCCAGAATACGTCGAGGACATTTAATTGATATCGCTTAATCTATGATTACGTGGGTTATTGTTGTGGCAATAAACCGGTGTCTTGTTCATAATCGAGCCTGGGCTTGCCAAACCAGTGGTTGATATTATGAAGAACGTACGGCGACATCGTGGTATGGTGCATGCAGTCAAGAAGCCAAGTCACCGAGCTTTTCACATAATAGCCGTCAAGCATCGTTGCTGGGAGTGGTGAGTGAGTGAGTTTAGTATTACGCCGCACTCAGCAATATCCTAGTTATATGTCGGTGGTCTGTAAATAATCGAGTCTGGACCAGACACTCCAGGGATCAACAGTATGAACATCGATCTACGCAATTGGGATACGATGACATGTGTCAACCAAGCCAGCGAGCCTGACCACCCGATCTCGTTAGTCGCCTCTTACGACAATTCAATTCTAACACGGACCTTAACGGGTTCGTTACTGGGGACCAATTCTTGTCGGCAAACCTAACTTGATCATGCACTAAAACTAAGTCCTGATTATAAATCACTAAAAACAACGTTGAGTTTTTTATTCAAATTGTCTCGTCACACGTTTCTTAAATTAATCAAAACTCTACAATGGAAAACAACAATATAGACTTCCAATATAAATCAGTACAATTGATACAAAGCATTCTTTCCTGTATGAAAATGGACACAGTGAAGATCAATATATGTGAAAGCATCTATCTTTCATAGAAACATTTAAAATTTGGCATGAAGAGGAATGTAATTATAAAAAACTGAAATCACGCCATCAACGTTTCTCTTGGAGAGCCTCATCAAAGTATTCCTTCCAAATCAGGCCTCTTCAAACACAAACATGTATCTTTACCAATGTAGATTACGATAAAGAATCCTTATTCTGATCAGCTATTAATAGTGTTACATATATTATATTTAGGATTACACTTTATTAGTTAAGTTCAGATTCTAGTACTTTTGTTGGGTTGAGTCCCATCCGGGATTCGAACCCACACCCTCAGAGTCAGGCACCTAATCGCCAGCACACAAAGTCAGCCGTCTAACCCGCTCAGCCAGCGTGGCTTGTGTGATGGTGATTAGGTACCTGACTCTGGGGTGTGGGTTCGAATGCCGGATTCCAACAAAAGTAATAGAATATGACTTTACTAAGAAAGTGTAATCACAAATATAACATATGCTACATTTGACCACTTTCTAAAAACATTGTGTATCGTATTAAAGGTGTTCACGCATAACAATGCTTTTGAAATTACATTTATGGAAAAGATGACTTATGATGTCTCGGAAAATAATCTCAGTGTATTGAAACATAAAAGTACACTTATGATTATCTTTCCAGATATGTTAGCTTTCTTCTCTTAAACCTTCTCCTGAACGTTATAGGGGCGGTCGGGTAGCCCAGTGGTCAAAGCGTTCGTTCGTCACGCCGATGACCCGGTTTCGATTCCCCCCATGGGTACAATGTGTGAAGCCCATATCTGGAGTCAAACGCCGTGATATTCCTGGAATATTGATAAAAGTGACATAACACTCACTCCCTCACTGACTGTCTGTCATATCTGTTCATATCGGTGTTCCAATGGTTTAACATGTTTTCAGGTACAGAAATATGTATATCGTTTATTATATATGAACATGACCCTATGATCACAAGCCAGAAGATGCAGCAGTCGATGCACCATGGCGGTGTCTTCTATTTGGAATAACTTACAAAATACATACAACAATATTTTGTTTCGTTACGAAGAAATGTAATCCTGCTACATTTCTATATGAAGATGCCGCAACTACAAACACAAGTTAGATGGAAGACAGTGTAATTGTATGATAAAATGGATAAATATAAGTTGTAAAGCTTGTTTACCAATCCCAATTCATTTTCATGAATATAAATATGTTTAAAACAGATGGATAAATCGGAACATTTGGATTAAGATTCCACCTCCTATTCCGTACTTTCGGAATACCATGAGAGGTGCGCATGCGCATAGGAATCACATCAGTACGCATGTTTATAGGAATCGGTTAGTATCAGAAGTTTTCGACTGAGTTGAATATTGTGAATATCTTCAGTGTTTTGGTGTTTCGAAGGAAATGCTACGAGGATAGTGTGCAAGAAGTTCTTCAGAGGCGGTTCACTGAGTTTTATGGACAGTGTTATCGAAGTTTAGCTACTAAGCTATCTGACCTATACGGCCGCGGGTCGTGGTCTGTTCGCCTGAATTTACCAATATGGCAATGCCCCCCGCGGGGAGACAAAGAATTGGGCGATGAGGTCGTGAAGACGACACGCCACAGTATTTTGAACTGGCAGATACATTGGCATCTCCAAAAGTGGATAACAGTGCTCCCGCTGGAGAGAAACTGGCAATAACCTGAGAACAGCGGAATTTTCAGGTGTAGGCGCTACTGGAAGTAGTCAAAGTGCCAAAGTTATTTCTATCAGAGAATTGTCGGCTCTTATTGGGCAACTGAATGCAAGCACCTTTGGAATGAAGCACGCTCCTCTTTTTTATAAGAGATTGGCTAAAGGGAGCTTCGGTGGATTAGTTGAACTTGATCAGTTATGTACAGATGATCTAATTTGGTGGATAGAGAATGCAGGAAATTCCCCTCAGCTCATACAGCTCAGACTTAACAAATGTCAGATGACTGGTCTTCAAAAAGAACAGGAGTGGATGAGTGATCATTGTGAGAACAGGACAGGATGTCTGTGGACCAAGGAAGAAAGTGACAAAACACATATACTCTTTGGAACTTTTTGCTGCTTTTCTAACTTTGCAATCATTGTGCTCACAACAACAGAATGTGCATATAAGACTTTTAATTGACAACACTACAGCAGTATCTTACATTAACAATATGGGAGACCGTTATGTATCATGGTGCCCCGACCCAGGGGCAGTAGCTGTGGATGCATTTTCCTCGTTCTGGGGACAATCTTACGAATATATGTTCTGCCCTTTCAGTTTTATCGGAGGGGTTCTGCAGAAAATAAAACAGGAAGAGGCCGAAGTGTTGATTATAGCTCTAGTATGGCCAACACAGTTTTCGTTCAGCAGGCTGCTGAACTTACTGACTGACTGTCCAGGGCTGCTCCCAAAGTCAAAATACCTTCTAAGGTTAGCAAACCAACCCGACAGGCAACATCCACTCCAAGGAAAGCTGAAACTTGCAGCATTCAGACTATCAGGGAAGAACTACAGGGTCAAAGAATACAGGAACCAGTTGCAGACATTATTCTGCAATCATAGACAATATGGGACATATTTCCGCAAGTGGTTGTTATTTTGCAATGCAAAGGACACTAGTCCCATTTCACCACCTCTGAGCGAAGGACTAAAATTTCTGCAGGAACTCTTTGCTCAAGGACTAAGCTATTCTGCTGTTAATACTGCACGGTCTGCTTTATCAACAATACCATTGGTTGACAATGTAAAATTTGGACAACATCCAATGGTGATCAGATTCATGAAGGGCATTTTCAATCTTCGACCCGCATTGCCAAGATACAATGTGACATGGAATGTGTCTGTTGTGCTGCAGTATTTGAGAGACCTTACAGAGGACAACTTGAAAAGCGTAATTTTAAAACTTGCTATGCTGATGGTTTTGTTATCAGGGCAACGCCTTCAATCTCTGTTTAGGTATGGTGACTTGCTCAAACAATCTAGACCTGGATACCACCAAAGTGAATTGACACTTACAGGATTTCCTGACCCTCGCCTGTGTGTGGTCCGCAATCTGCAACGGTATTTAGCTCGGATTGAACCCATTAGGGGTGAAGAGGCTGCACTTTTTGTTAGTTTTCATAAACCCCATCGAAGAGTGTCTAAAGGTACTCTGTCCAGATGGATCAGGATTGTGCTATCACAGGCTGGTATAGACTTAGCCATCTTTGAGCCACACAGTATTAGATCTGCATCAACCAATGCAGCATCACGGGCCAATGTCCCTTTGCAAACAATAATTAGGACTGCGGGATGGAGCAGTGACTGTGTGTTCAAGAAATGTTATGAAAACCAGTAGCAAATGGAGGACAGTTCAGTGAAGCCATCCTAAATCATGTGCCAAGGTAGAAGTTGTTTGTAGAATACCAGGTTTAAACATTTTCACTTTACATGATAACTGTACCATGTGCCAAACTTTGTAGCTATTCCATGTGCCAATACAGTTGTGTTACTAAAACTGTTATGATGTCAGTTTTGTTCTTACTTGTTACGTCAGAAAATATGGTTTTGCTCTAAAAATCTCATGGTATTCCGAAAGTACGGAATAGGGAGGTGTAATTAAAAAAATAAACGAGACTTACCTGTAAGTTGAAGTTTGATATAAATTCCACCGACCTATGAAGTACTGAGGGATAACATGCCCTCCCATCCCATCCCTATTGGCTCATGCAAACCATATTTTCACTTTAAAAGCTGGTTCCTATGCGCATGCGCACCTCTCATGTTATCCCTCTGTACTTCATAGGTCGGTGGAATTTATATCAAACTTCAACTTACAGGTAAGTCTCGTTTAATTTTTAAATTTACACGGTACAATTGATAAGCAGGTATCCCTGAGAGAGTTGGTGCTCTTGAGTCTGTTTCGGACTGCTTCCCCATAGGACGATTCCGCCGGACCCCAGGAGCTGTTTGGTCTCACGGACTTTCTGAGACGCTGAAATATTGAAGCATGACAAAATACAAGCTTTAAAGGAGAGGAGATAACAGAGTCGAAGAAATCTTAACATTCCGTGTCTTTGGGTATAATGGGGTAGCCCAGTAGTTAAAGAGCTCGCTCGTCACGCCAAAGACCCGGGTTCGATTCCCCACATGGGTACGTTATTTGAAGCCCATTTCTGGTATCTCCCGCTTTGATGTTGCTGGAATATTGCTAAAGCAGCGTAAAACCAAAACACACTCACTCACTTTGGATATGAATTCAATCGTGCATGCATATTTATATAGTATAATATACATCGCTTCCAAAAACTAGAATTAACCACTATTCGCACTGTACAACATCGATGTGAGTTGCGTCCTTGAGCACATCGGAAAATTATGACTGTGTGTTCCCTATTCTGATTCGGAACTGAGTCATCTTAGATCAATATTTTCAAAGGCTTCTTAAATCCGCCGATTCTCAGACGTATCTTGACAAATACCTGCAATAGGGTCCCCTCCTCCTTGTAAATGGTCAGAAACATCCCGACCACCAATGGAATGCAGGGAATGGTTGCTAGGCACCAACCAATGGTAGCAGCGTATTTGGGATAAACATAATTGCCGTAGGTTGGCGGCTCATAGCGGGCCAGAGTAGATATGAATATTATCTGAAAAATAAGAATAAAGGAACATTTGTATTTTTGGATCATCAACATTTATAAACTAATTCATGTGCTTGAAATAGCTGTGCATTTATTTTAAATGTTCTATGTCGAATTAATATCAGGAATCTGTTGACTTTTGACAAGGATATATTCAATAGAAACCAAATGAACATCGGATTTTACGAATGCGTGTTTAAGAAGCCACGTATAGGATTACAAAACACTTTCTCAAATCGTCTAATAAGCGTTATTGAATGTAAAACGAAAGCAAAATATGATCCAACAACGAGTATGTCAGAATTCCTTACACATAAATATAAATATGAAAATGTTCAAGACAATAATATTACATCTAAGATCATTGTTGTGTCATAACCAAACGAAGCGTTTTCAAGTGTCTGATCCAGACTCGAATGTTAACGGAGTGCCGTCGTATGGCCGGAGTAGAGCCCTTCGCGTAGAAACGAAGAAAAAATATTACTTTTTCATGAAATTTGTGTTGAGTGGAAGGTGATAACGGAAGAGTAGGACAGACACTCCATTTTCATGAATGGCTGGTGTCGTCCCTGATTTTCAGTGATCCATTCACATAATAACCACTGCTATTAATGTTTTGCTTTTTACGCTTAGTGGGATCTTTTTCGTCGGATAATTATTACTGATTGAACTTAACGTTGAAATTCTGAAATTTTGAAATGGAGTGTGCCTCCTTTGGTTCATTCCCAAATACATCAGTTCAATAAAAAATGAAGAGGGACGAGAAATAATGTATTTCAAATTCCCAAATCACCAAAACCCAGCGGTTCATCACCAGACCTATCTTTTTATCAGTTAACAAACAAACCGATAGTGCAGCATCCTTTTAAAAGTCAAACTGTGCATCAAGTATTAAATCGATTACAGTGGCCATTTTTTCCTGTCTGGTATTTAACACCTTATGAAAACGTTTCCTACCGTACTTAATGTTATCAGACCCGTGAAAATCCTAGTTAGAACTGATCTTTAGCAACCTATGCTTGTGGTAAGAGGCGTGTGACGGGATGGGTGATCAGGCTGCCTGAAACATGTCATCGTATCCCAATTGCGCAGAATGATGGTCATGTTGATGACCACTGGCTTGTCTGGTCCAGACCTGATTATTTACAGACCGCTGCCATAAGCTGGAAATTGCTGAGGGTGACGTCAAAACAAACAAACAAACAAACAAAAATTAATGTCATGAGCATCGGCCGAAGACCCATTCTTATGTCGGGGCGTGATACATCCTGAGATGCATGAACAAGGAGGGTGACAGAAAATATTACGGAAGATGATTACCAGAAGCAGTGCAGGTGTGATGAAACACCATGAAACTTTGAAGAACAATGGGACTGGCCTCCCCGTCATCATCTCGACATCCTCGCTGACACGATTCACACCTGAAACAGAAATAGTGTTTAATTAGCTCCACACCCATTTGACAGTGGTTTTGAAACCTTAACAATTGACTTGCCTCTGAGTGTGTCTGTGATAGGTAATCTATAAACACATGATAGTGTTTGTTTGATGTTTAACGCCAGTAAAATGTCGGGTCTGGACCAGGCAATGCAATGACTGCATCATAAACATCGATCTACGCAACTTGTCTACGATGACATGCATCAACCAAGTCAGCGAGCCTGACCACCCCATCTCGTCAGCCCTCTGTCACAAGAAGCATGAGTTGCACATGGTTGTCATGAAGTGCAATTGTTAAGAAAACGTTTCCTATTCTCGCGGTACTTACGGGTATCGGCTGAAAAAATATCACAAACAATTCTTATCGTATGAATGCTTGTAGTTTTAAATGAAGGTCCTTCTCCTCTAACATCTGCATCTATCAGCTGCTAGATCCATCAGGTGAATTACCACTTGTGATCCCGGTGATAAACAATATTATAAGGAAGTCACGTTATGGAGTGTATGGAAGAGCAATCCCGCAAAGGCGGGGAAAAGTTATGATATGTCCAAGTTTGTATAAACTCACCAATATTCGTGACATTGCAAGATTTTGCTCACTCACAGACTTGGGCTACTTCCTATAGTTACTGGTCGGTGATGTAAACAATCGCTAAGCGTCCCCCATTGGCGATCTCGGTAGAAAACGTGTTTACCGCGAGAATAGGAAACAGGACAGAATTTATAATAGACACTGCTCTATTCAGAGGTTTGATAAAGTAAGGGTGCGCACCCCACCTTTTCTCAATAGTGTGCACCCCACCTTTTCTCAATAGTGTGCACCTCCCCTTTCTCAAAAAACTGTATCCGCCCCTGATATTAAATATGTTGCCTCAGAGTGAGTGATGTTGGTTTTACGACGCTTTTAGACACATTTCAGCAATATCTGATATCACTATGATAATAAAAATCGGCTTCACACTTTGTACCATTTGTGGAATCGAACCAGGGCTGTCCCGTCTGTCCCTGTGACCAAAATAATTAAAATGTTAATCATAGTAATACTTAACACTAGTATCATCACTGACAATCGTCCCTATCGAGTTCCAATCTAAATGTCAGGAATCTTGCGGTAAAAGAGGGACCATTTCTGCGCCTTTAGGATCTGTGACTAACCGTATATCCATCCCAGAATGATGCACTCCAGAAGACCGACCAGGATGAGGAATATGGTTACGAAGTACCAATCAACCAGTTGGAAAACATACATTCCGCCCTAAAAGTAGAAATCCTAAGTTTATACGAGAAACGCTTAAAGAAATGATGCTTATAATTATGGTTAAGAAACATAACATTTTCTCATTTTCTCATTTGATCAGTATTGACATGTCACGTGATCAGTATTGACTTGTCATGTCATCAGTATTTACATGTCATGTGGTCAATATTGACATGTCATGTGATCAGTATTGACTTGTCATATGTGATCAGTATTTGGTCTTCGAATACTGTCTATATACTCCGAAACGTGTTCCTCGTAAAAAAAGGTCGACGTTAAACTCTCTTCATGTTACTTGTCATGTGATCAATATTGAGACATAACATGATCACTTGTCACTTCGTCTGCGAAAAACACCTGCAACATGGCGACTGCCAGTGACAACACACGGTTCTCTGTCATCTAGTAATATCAGGGAAAACAGTGACAAAAAACGAAACTCAGTATTTTATTTCGTCATTACAAAACTATTGATTACTATTAGCGAGGTCACTATGCGAAAACGAAACAATATGCCAAGAGCTATGCCAGGCGCGTAGCAAGCCAATGTTTTTCTGTAAGCTTGATAGGATGCAAAACTTTATTATTTATATAGTATTGAGGGTTTGCCCAACCTTTTTAGCAACAGTCATGTGTAAGCCCGGGCTTTTCTATAATGGTACTTACGCCCCTGTAAGCAAGCTAACGTATCAACCAGAACAACCTTCTTTTTGTGTATACCTTTACATGCTGTCATTGGTGTTTCTGAGTCAAGACCAACATATCAGTTAACAAACCTCAGTAGCGAATATCAGACCCAGCAGAAAGGCAGCAAGACAATACCCAGCGTTAACGCATAATCTCCATCTCATCAGTGACGGGAAATAGTCCATTATGGCCGATATCACAGTCTCCACCATTGTAAACTATAGAATAAAACACTGAAAATTATTTTGTAATAATATTAAAATATTTAAAGACAAAGATCGACGAGAAGGAAGTACCGTTGTTCACTCACAACAGAACAGCACGTAAATATGTCATATTCAACATAAACCAAACTCGGTTCAGTACATCCAGACACCTGTAAGATGTGTCTGGACATGCCGAAAGACAATATCGCATTGACCGACCCCCACCCTAATATCACCCTACCCCCGTCTGAGGGTACGGTAGAAGTACCTGAATTGGAATAAACGAAAGGCGTATACAGTTATAAAACTAATGTCATTGCCAGAACTTACAACTGACAATAGAACCAATAAATAAGAAACTGTTTTAACGTTTATTTTAGCATCGCTGCATTCAATAAATATAACTAAAAAAATCCCGATGAATTTATGACGATAAGAAGTTGCCATAAAATCACAAAATTAACTTTTTTTTCTCTCTCTTTTTGTCTGGAGAGTGATTTTCAAAAAAAATAATAATAACTTCGTCAATTATCTGCTTTCGTGGTTCTAATTGAGATATATCTTGCAGGATATCGTGTTATGTTGCAAACTGAATATTTATGAATATACCTATGGAATATTTGAACATTGAATCTAATATTATGAGAATTTGAGTAAATCATAGAATCTCACCGCTGAATCCAGCGTCAAAAGAATGAGCATAATGAAGAAGAAGAAGCTCCATAGCTGAGGAACCGGAAGTTGGGCTAAGGCTTCCGGGTAAATAACGAAGCCTAATCCAGGCCCTGGAACAGATAACAATGTCATGGTTTAGAGTGTAAATGGGACCGAGACGAGGCTTGGTTAGAGTGCAAAGACCGATAAAACTGGTCTGAATCTAAATTATAACATTTGAACTTCACTATATATGGTCAAATACCCTGTCCTTTTTTGGTTTCCACAGAAGCGATATCATCATTTTGATCCGTTAACAGTACCAATATATTGTCATATAATCCTGAACTTGACAATGTACACATCACAATGGACCAGAAATAGGACCTTGACTCGAACTCCATATATAAGACGATGGAACTTTCAGGTCTTGATGAATTCCTGATCGACATTGTGGTCTAATAGTCACTCCGCAAGTCTCGAAATACGGGTAACTATATCTAGTAAAAAAATGCAGTTCTACAAAATTTAAAAATATTTCGTAGTTCAAGGGAATCACCACTGGATGTAGCTATCCTCTTCATTTGAAGAAGCGGCATTAATCCATGACTGACACATACTAATACATAAAAGAAAGATTTATTGAAATACCACAGGACACAACATATGTGATCTGACACATACCACAGGACACAACATATGTGATCTGACACATACCACAGGACACAACATCTGTGATCAGACACATACCACAGGACACAACATCTGTGATCTGACACATACCACAGGACACAACATATGACACAAACATACCAGAGGACAAGATGTGAACAGACACATACTACAACATCATACCACAGGACACAACATATGTGAACAGACACATACCAGAGGACACAACATATGTGATCAGACACATACCACAGGACACAACATCTGTGAACAGACACATACCAGAGGACACAACATCTGTGATCAGACACATACCACAGGACACAACATCTGTGATCAGACACATACCACAGGACACAACATATGTGATCAGACACATACCAGAGGACACAACATATGTGAACAGACACATACCAGAGGACACAACATCTGTGATCAGACACATACCAGAGGACACAACATCTGTGACATAGACACATACCACAGGACACAACATATGTGAACAGACACATACCAGAGGACACAACATCTGTGAACAGACACACCAACATCTGTGAACAGACACATACCACAGGACACAACATCTGTGAACAGACACATACCAGAGGACACAACATCTGTGATCAGACACATACCACAGGACACAACATCTGTGATCAGACACATACCACAGGACACCAGAGGACACACATACCACAGGACACACATATACCAGAGGACACTACATATGTAACAGACACATACCAGAGGACATAACATATGTGATCAGACACAAATCACAGGACACAACATCTGTGATCAGATACATACCACAGGACACAGCATCTGTGATCAGATACATACCACTGGACACAACATATGTGATCTGACACATACCAGAGGACACAACATCTGTGATCGGACACATACCAGAGGACAACATACCAAAGGACACAACATATGTGATCAGATACATGTCACTGGACACGACATATGTTAACAGACACATACCAGAGAACACAACACAAGGGAACAGATGTATTCTTGAGGATAACACAAGTAAACAGATACGTACCAGAGGACACAACATCTGTGATGGGCACATCTGCTTCATAAGCCATGAATCCAAGAACGGAGAAGACACCAACACCAGCAAACAGACTCGTTCCTCCACATACGAATGTACAGATGACTGCATTCCTTTAGAGGAAAGTTTACGTTTGTTGTGACATTGGGATAACTAATAATGATGATACAGAAGGTTCACACCAAGGCAGGAGCTGGAATATTGCAAGGTAAGTTCCTGACCTGAGACAGTTGGTATGGAAGGTGTTGTAGCTTGCCATCGTGATGAGACTTCCCCACGCTGGACCAAGGGAAAAGAACACCTGTGCACACGCCTCCAGCCACACCTGGATCCAGGATGATACAGAACACTTCACAGTAAAATATTCACACCTTTCCATTACCTTCCCAGGGCCTAGATTTTCGAAGCTCTCTTAGCGCCAAGATAGTCGTAAGTGCCATACATTAACATTAACTCACAACTATCTTAGCGCTAAGAGAGCGTCGAAAATCTAGGCCTTGGTTGCAATGTTCTAAGACATTCTATATTGACGTATTTGAATCGTATTTAAACTTGGGATCGGTTATTTAAATGATTTACAGTCTGGACCAGACAATCCAGTGATCAACATCATAAGTATCCATCTACGCAGTTGGGATACGATGACCCGTGTCAATCAAGTCACCGAGTCTGACCACCTGATCCCGTTATTCGCCTCTTACTACAAGCATGGGTGACCGAAGATCAATTCTAACCCTGATCTTCACGGGTTGGTGGAATTTTAAGAAGTCGTCGAACATCAATCTGCTGATGGTACTGATGTTGGTGTGAAAATTATTATCTCCCTAAATCCCCTAAATTTACTCAAAATATTTCTTCTGTTGGTTGTTTAACGTCGCACTTAGCAATATTCCAGTTATATGACGGCGGTTTTTAGATAGTCGAGTCTGGACCGGACGATCCAGTGATCCTTGTAATGAGCAGAGATCTACGCAACTGAGATACGATGACACGTGGCAACCAAGTCAGCCACCCGATCTCGTCTGTCGCCTCTTACGACAACCATGGGTTGCTGAATATCAATTCTAACCCGGATTAGACAATTCTTCACGGGTCTAAAGTAACTAAAGATAACTAACCTCTATGTTGAGAATTTTGCTGAAATTCGGTGAAATGTAGAACAGAGCGCCGGCTGGTCCTCCAGGTAAAGTCAGCCCGCGGATACAGAGGATGATGAGGAACACATAAGGTAGAGTGGCAGTAACATAGACAGCCTACAATGAAGCAATGGTCTGACCATATTCGTGCAGTAAAATACTATGTGTGTCTATACTACATGTATGGTTATCACATATAATTTCAGAGAAGTGAGTGCTGATACAGCAGTTTTCCATTAACAAGTCTTTGGTTATGATAACGACTTCGTTACTGACACAGTGTAACTACAGAAATTGACATGCATACCACTTCCTTGTTCGCAACAACGTCGTTATTGACACAGTGCTGATACAGAGGTTTCACACTGAGTGCTATTGCGTTCCTATGATGATGATGATGATGATGATGATGATGATGATGATGATGATGATGATGATGATGATGATGATGATGGTGATGATGATGATGGATGATAATGGCGTATTCGCATACGTTACAACAGGGATACAGACAACGGTCGAAGAGGAACATGTTTTTAACATGCTTCAATATTCAAACCGCTTTTTACACAGTTCGTCAATTTTACTTATAGATTTTAAGTCAAATTACACAAAGTATGAAACTTTAACAGTTGTGAGATGGATACAGTAATACACATAGGGCAACTTCATTCTAGCACAAATTGGGAACTTCAAACAAGTAAGACCATCAAATAGGATCTTATAACAAAACACATATTATACGAAATCTGTTCCGGAAAGGAATCCACGCTGATTATCAGAATGAAGTCTGTGACACGCGGTCTCACCTTGCCAACTGATCTGATGCCTTTGATGATACAGCCGAATATCAGCAGGTATATGGCAAACAGACACAGAGCCAGTTCCCATTTGACTGTCCCCACTTGGTCCAAACCTGGGCTAATGCTGAGGGCCTTGTATCTGAAGAAGGAGCAAACAAGGTGAGCAGAACTTGACAATGGCGCACCTGTTGTCTTTAATTAGAAAATTAAACGAGACTTACCTGTAAGTTGAAGTTCGATTCTAATTCTGTCAACCAATCCTTAGTGCTGAGGGGTCACATGAGATTGCAAGTGCGCCTGCGCGAGATCAGTCTTTAACAGTATGTACATGAAGATGAGAGGGGTCACATTGGTGGGAACCCAACGGGAGGGCATGTGACCCCTCAGCACTAAGGATTGGTTGGCAGAATTAGAATCGAACTTCAACTTACAGGTAAGTCTCGTATAATTTTCTAATTCTACCAACCAATCCCGTGCCAACGGGATCCCATCAGATATTCAAAGCCATCTTAATGTACATACTAACAGCAGTGAAATAAAAACCAACTTCAATGCAATTCATGTATTACAAAAATGATAAACAACCATGTAAACCTTACAAATTGTTGGTTAGGTTAAAACTTTAACCTCTTATATGAAAAACATTTCATATCAACTGCAGTAAATGTATCGGTACATATTTGAAACAAAAAACACATGAAATTTGTCATCATGAAAAATGTTCATTTCTTTAACTTTTCCTGTGATAAAACAGTGTTTGCAAACAAAGTTGAGCATTCTGAGACAACAAGTTTTTTGTAATATTTCGCAAAAGTCTTTGCGGAAGCCCAACCTGCTCTGTCGAGGATCTGATGCACAGGCACATTGAGTTTACTGGCAGCCGACACACTTGCTGCCCTGGTACTATGAGGTCCATACATTGTAGTGTCTATTCCAGCACTGTTAAGTCCTGTTTTTGTCCAACGACTAATAGTGTCCCTGGATACTCGTTTAACACAAGTGATGAACAATCACCTCTGAGAGAGTCAGTACATGAAATGTATTCATTGAGCGGTGTGATGGGACACAAACGTCTGTCAGGGGCGTAAGCCCGTATTTTCAGTGAAGCAAAAACATTACCAGGTTTAGACTGCTTGACATGATCCTTCAATAAGAACTCAACTAAAGAACAACTAGATGAAATATTCATAGATTCCAAGTCCAATAAATGCAACGTTTGTCCTCTGTGGGCAGTAACAACTGACAAAAGTAAAACAAGTTTGATAGATAGTTGTTTCAAAGTTAACTTTTTAACTGGAGAGAATTTACGAAGGTATTCAAGAAGTACATTGACATCCCAAACATCTTGATCTTTGGGTGTCGGGGGTTTCTGCTGAAAAACTCCTCTCATAAATCTTTCACTAAAGGGTGATCACCCCCTGACTCAATGGTGCTATCTATAATAGCGGACAACGCACATCTAGCCGTGTTAAAGGCACTATAACCTAAACCACGTTGAAACAACTCACATAAAAATTTCAACACATATCTTATATCCACAGAAAATGGATCACGTTTCCTCTGATCACAAAAGGGGAACCACTTGTCCCAAAACACTTGATATTGCCGTCTGGTAGACTTTCTCCAGGAATCCCACAGGAGGTTCCTGATTCCTTCAGAAAATCCTCTCTGCTCCCAGTGAGTCCAGACACGGGAAACGCTGCTAATCTCAGGTGGGTCAGATTCGGATGACCTGTCGCATCCCACGGAAGACTCAGTCTGCTTCTTGCTGTCGTTATCTCGACAGGCCTGTCAACAAGAAGATTCATTAAACTTGTGAACCATGATCGTGTAGGCCATATTGGGGCAACTATAATACCTTTTGCTTTATCAAACATGATTTTTTGTAAGCATTTTGCAATCAAACAAAAGGGTGGGAAACAATAGAATGTTCCGCCACTCCAGGCCATAGTAAATGCGTCAGTATGAAAGGCATCTGGATCAAACGTCCAAGAGACATATATAGGCAACTTCTTGTTATCTCGAGGCAAACAAATCAATTTCTGGTTTTAAAGAACATAAATCAAGTATTTTGTCAAAAGTTTTTGAATCTAGAGTCCATTCTGTTCTGTCAGAGAAATTTCCGCATGGGTATTTCTACTTCCTGGTATGTGTGTTATTGTTAAGTCAATATTGTTCTGAATGCAAACTTGCCAAATTTGTTTCTGTCAAAACATTGCAAGTTTCAGACTTAATACCACCCATTTCTCTGACGTAAACAACAGCTGTATTGTCGTCACATTGAACATGTTCTTTTTTGTTGACTAATTTCTTATGAAAACATTGGAGGCCGAACAATATTGCTTTCATTTCTAGAACATTAATGTGTGCTTGTTTCCCAATTTCATTCCATCTACCATTTGCTTTCATTTCTTCTAGACATGCTCCCCAGCCGTCCATACTAGCATCTGTTTGCATACAACGGTCAGGATTGAAGGTTTTCAATGTTTGCTCAGAGCCTAGTACATGTCCTAGCCACCAAGTGATTTCACTTTTTGATTCATTACTCAAGGTCATGTTTGATTCGTCATTCCAGTTCCTTAATCTTAAAGCTACAATTTTATCCTTTTCGATGGCCCTGACATGGAGTTTTCCAAACTTTACAGCTGGTAGAGAAGCTATCAGTTTACCAATTAACATAGCAACCTTCCTAATCTTATAGCCTTTGTTTTTCAACAAGTCTCGAGCAATTTCTTGAATATTAATTGCTTAATCATTGTCCACAGAGATTGTCATTTTGACAGAATCAAACCACAAACCAAGGAATTTTATTTTCTGTGATGGTTCTAGTTGTGATTTTTCCTTGTTGACAGTAAAGCCTAAATCTGTAAACTGATCTGCTGTCTTAACAGCGGCATTTCTACATTCTGCTATTGTTCTGTCCGCAACAAAACTGCCATCTATATAGCAGAGACAATTAACTCCTTCTTTCCTAAGTGTTGCATAAACAACTTTGCATATTTTGGTAATTATTATAGGAGCAGAGGACAAGCCATTGGGCAAACAAGTAACCTGATAAAGTTTTCCTTTCCATCTGAATCTGAGGTATTTCCTATATTCTGGATCAACATTAACGGCGTAATACGCATCTTTCAAATCCACAGAACACATATGAGAGCCTTGTGAAGGGGTTCCTTCTTAAAATGGTTATACTCAATTCCCAAATTAAGATATTTTAAATGCAATATCATTCTATATGAACCATTTTTCTTTTCTCTCAAAACAATGTTTGAAATATATTGATCTGAACTTTCACTTGCGATTTCTACAATGCCTTTACTATGAAATGTTTCATTTTTTTCCAAGAGAATGTTTTGCTCTTTCCTGGTGAAGTTAATCTGATTTGGCTCTTTAGTTTGATAAGGAGACTCCTTACCCTTAAATTCAAGTTTAACACCTTTGATATGATCTACAATGACCTTGCCCATGGCCCACTCTGGCCTACCTCTGAAAAATGCATGGACTTACCTACAGTGGTGTCTGCCCTTGTTGCACCCTCAGGCTGCTACTTGCCGCCGCCCCTCCCCATTTTCTCTGGGGCAATCTTGTTATACTGAAAGGCTTGGCCTTAAAGGTCTGTATCTAGGCAGGCCTGGATGTCCCAAAGCATAGTTTGTATTTGGACCTGAGTATGAATACCCTCGTCCACGACCCCTGTAATATGGGTGATAGCGGCCTCTACCGCCTAGAGTAGATAATGAACGATGTCCGATTCTGTTGGTTGAACCCAAATCTCTTAGTTGTTTAACCACATCCTCGCCAAAGAGGAGTTCAGGCGTTCCAACAGTCGTGGGGGAGTACAGGCTGCGAAACTCTGGGCGTATTTCAGGCCTCAGGAAATCTTTCCTCTTTTGAAGAATGAGAGAATTGGTATGGCCCAGAAAATTGAGAGAGTCAGCCAGCTGAAGTAGTAAAGTGTCGAACAACGGTTTGGGCAAATCCTTCTTGTTTTGGAAAATAAGTTCAAGTGCTTTTGAGTTTGCTATTGAAGCTTTTATAACTCCTGATTGTATCTTTTTGCATCTTAGTGTCCACTGTTCTGGCTGGGCCAGAAAAATTGTCCCACACAACTTTGTTCAGTTCAGGTTCAATACTGAGCAATTTGAAGGTGTTTTGCACTCCTTCATTCGTTCATTCACAACTGAATCTTCAACTGACTTGTACTGAAACAATGGTGAAATTCAAGTGCTTTTGAGTTTGCTATTGAAGCTTTTATAACTCCTGATTGTATTTTTTTGCATCTTAGTGTCCACTGTTCTGGCTGGGCCAGAAAAATTGTCCCACACAACTTTGTTCAGTTCAGGTTCAATACTGAGCAATTTGAAGGTGTTTTGCACTCCTTCATTCGTTCATTCACAACTGAATCTTCAACTGACTTGTACTGAAAAATGTGAAATTATATCAGTCAACTTTCCATCAAGGGGTATCCCCTTATCTTGTGGGAGTCCAAGTGATTTTTGCAGAGTAAAAAATTCATCCTCTACTTCAACTTCAGCCGTACTGTCCCCTGAATCTAATTGTTCGAGGGTTCATCATGAGTAGGCCCATCGGGCTGAATTTCGCACTCTCACTGATACTGATAGTCAACATCGTAGTTCTCATTATGAGACTCGTAGTCGTGTTCATAATCCATCGGGCACCTTTCTTCCATTTGCATTGTCCCCTCAAACTGAGAGAGAATTTGTCACTCATTTTGTTCATACCCGAATTCATGGCCTTCATTTCTGTTAAAATATCTTTCATGCACGATGTAAGTTCATGATCATGTTGTTCAGAATTACTGTCTGAAGATTTGCGGCCTTCTGAATTTTTCGTGTCTTTGCTTGTCTTAGCTTTCGTTTTCTCCGATGTATCTGAAGTCTTATTAACATCTTTGCTAGATTTAGCTTTAGTTTTTTCATTTGTATTACCCGCAGGTGATATTTGTTGAGTTTGTTGGGAGTCGCCACGAGGGCGAGCGACGTCTCCCATTTTCGCACGTTGCATCAGTCAGCTCGCTGACTCGAATTGAAAACTGACAGTCACAGTCACAATAGTAAGGGTAAACACCTTCACAACGTATACATAGCCCCTCGGGACTATTATCAAAACCAAACACTTCCAAATAATATCAGAAGGTAGGGAAAAACACATGTCATTGAGCCGTCTACGTAATTCACTGCTACCTCGCATAAGGCGCCATTTGCGCTGATCTCGCGCATGCGCACGTGCAATCTCATGGGATCCCGCTAGCACGGGATTGGTTGGTAGAAAATGGGGAGGAAATTGGGTATTTTACAATTATTCAACAATATCCGACCATCGATTTACCGGAATCTGAAATTGAGTCAACTTCTTGGCTAAGTTCCTTTATTTGAAAGAAGAAAGAAAACAATTGCTAGAAGGGTAGCACAATTTGCACTCATGAGGATGGTTACTTTTTGCCGAAATGTCTTTTCTGTCAAAATATTTTATCAAAATAAGGAAGTCCAATATTTCAATAACTTTTGATGACGTTTGCTTTGAAGTTTGATTTCATAAAATTCGAAATGATATCGTTCGAGAAATTGTCCCCTTTAAGGTAAAGGAAACGGACTCGCCCGGAATACGGAGGTTCCGGTATATCAAGGACCGGACTAACAAGGTTCTGCTCTACCTAGAAACTGACATTTTCATAACATTTATCGCATATGTACAAAACACAAGAAACCATACCTAAATGGCGTGAAAGTTATGTTATTGTATACATACTGCCAGAATTCCTCCGCTGCAGTGTGGGATAATGTTTCATTTTGTCCCCAGCCGCTGCTGCCGAATTCTGTGGTGCCATTGTAAGCTGCGAGTCTTGAGTTGGCCTCGGTTCCATTAACCATTGTAAAGTTGCTGACTAAGCACAAATGAACATGTTTGAATATATTTGGAGTGACAATCCAAGCGTTTTGACATTCCTTTCGTAGTGTTGTTATAATATGTCAAATATCATAAAATATTGAAACGGTTACTCTAAAAACTTCTCAATACTTCAATATAAATTATAAGCAACAATCATATTTGGCGTGTGATATTAAGCTGAAAAAGAGATGAGGCTGGCATCTTTTATTTCTAGTAAAGGTGCGCTTATCAATTATTTGAATTTAATTATTTTTATTTTTGGTTATTTTACGGCGCACTCGGCATTTGTTTAAAGTTAAATGACAAAAAATCGAGTGTGGTCCTGACAGTCAGTGATCAACATCATGAGCATCGATCTGCGCAAGTGGGAACCGATGACATGTGCCAACCAAGTCAGCGAGCCTGACCACCCGGTGTCATTAGTCGCCTTTTACCAAAAGCGTGGGTTGCCGAAGAGCAATTCCAACTCCGATGTTCACCGGTGAGGACAAGCATAAAGGGTTGAAGGGCAATTGTATTTTAGACGTTCATGGGTCTCCCTTATTCTGTCACCTGTGGCGAGTCTCAGTGCTCTGATGTTTTTGACACATCTGTCTGTATTCCAGGAATTGCCACAGGTCGACCAAGGCAGGACGGTTCTACACGACGCGACAACATAGTACAGGGACCACGCGGCGTTGATGGTGTAGTACACGTTAGTACCGAAGATCACGATCAGCATGCCGAGCCCGAGACCTGAAAAATATAAAACATGCAAAAACTCATATATTTAAACCACGTATATCAGGCATGCATACGTCATTGTCTCCCAAAAGAAGGGGAAGCAATGTTATATACAATTAGTTACTTTTCGTTTTTCGTGTATTTTGATTGGACAGCCCGCTAATTAGCTGTGCCGTGTGCACACACATGCATACTAAACATATCCAAGCCTACCCGTGAGTTGGTCATTGCAAACTTCGCAAAAAATATCAAAATATTAGGGGACTAAACAGATACCAATCAGGGCTAAACCGGGGCTAATTATCTCCAGATTCCGAGGTTGTTTGTCATTCATGATTTAGATAAGCATTATCTAAGGAACTGGGATAAAAGCTAGAGGTTTCAAATTCGATTTGAATCTTCCAAATTCGAAACTTCACACTGTTGTACGTTCGAAATCTGTTATAGATAGGAAATAAAGTATGTTTTTCTACTAAATGTAGCGTAGTAAACTACGGTTATCAGGAACTCCATAGGACCAAACAGTTTAGTTCCTTACACCCGTGGTTCATTTTAATTATGCATTTTGACTAAATACACCGTAAATAGCCAGGGAAAAAAGGCGGTTCGTTATATCCGTCATTTCGTTATAAGCGAAGTTTACACTAGTTTATAAACATTTCAGTTTTGAAAAATCACAAAGTCTGCTCACAGAACTAATGCATCGTGATTCAAGTTACTATTATTTATTTCAACGTTTTAGATATGAATCTGCGCCATTTGCCACACAGAACTAAGGCATTTTCAATCCAGTTATTATCATTTATTTCCACGTTTAAGATATGAATCTGTGCCATTTGTAAGCATATTTCCCATATCAGGCCTACCATACAAATGGTGAACAAATCATCAAGACTGAACTCATATAGAAATAATAATAATAATAGTAATAATAATAATAATAATAAGGGCCTGATGATGTACGCCTCTCCGTGGTGGGCCTAGATAGGGGAATTATATTCCCTGAACCAAACGTACATCACCCAGTTAGGGCTGACCCCCCGAAGCTGGTTTTTCACTGGGTTACTAACAGCCAAGAAGAGTATAGTCTTTCACTTCCGCAGCCCAGTCAGCCTTCCTCCGGTAGTCAAACCAACCTTACTGGAGATGGGACTTGCCCCAGGGGAAGGCACAGAACCCGGCCAAGAATATCTTGGTCAAACCATCTAAAATCCACACTACTAGAGTGTGCGAAAGCGACAGGATGGCCTGATAATCCACGAATAAATGGCAAGTCGCTTAAGCTGCATTGGGACAATGCCATGCCCATGTATGCTTACCTGACGGAGCAAAATCTTCGAGATCAATTCCGGCGGCTTAAAAATCTCGTGCCCCGTGAGCCAGTTCAACCCACAACTGGTGCCCGTCAGGAACCTTTGCATGAACAGAATGCTCAAGTGGCAGCAGACCCAAAACTTCTGATGGACGTCCGTGTCAACCTCTTTCCTCTTGCTGATGGAAACTCTTCCGGCGTAGAGCCAATTGGCCCCGAAATTTCAGACCCTCACTCTTCCTCTTCTTCAGTTGCAGATCTTTCCGAAAACCCTGTGTATATTTTGTTTCATTCTATTTATGATGAAATATCTGGCATACCTTTAGAAAATCGGAGGCCAATTAAACAAACAAATGAATCTTTTCCCAAAACTGAAATCAATTTATTAAATGATATTATTTCTATGAAACTTTCATCGGACTGTTCATTACATGAAGTTAATTGTTGTGTCTATGCTGCCGCTCGAACCTTGGAGGAAATTCACACAGTTTCCAAAGAAAAATCATCTAACACTAAGAACAATACATCAAAGAAAAACCGGTTTCAAGTAAAACTAACGGAAACTCGAAAATACATTTCCTGGATAGAGCTGTGCCTGAAGTTAAGATCATCAGGGAGTCCAATGTCAAAACGGCAAAAGACAATTTGGAGAAAATTAAAATTACAATACAAGACAACAAAAGAAAAGGTACTTCTCCAAATTGTCGATTCCCTTAAGGCCAAAATAAGGGTTTGGACTGAAAGAAAGAAAAAATGGGAAAAGAAAAATAAATTCATCAAACAAAATAAACTTTTAGAAATAATGAAAAGCACTTTTACAGGCAATTGAAAACAAAGGGTGATGGTGAACATGATAAACGGCCTCCCATGGATGCCAATGAAAGGTTCTGGAAACAGTTGTGGTCTGTACCCGGCAACTGTAACCTTGAGGCACCATGGGTCAGTGATTATGACCATGCAATGCATGAGAAAGTAACTAGGTCGTTTGTCTGTTACATCTCACCAGATTGCCTGAAAAGTGTTATAAAAAAGTCCAAATCTAATACAGCTCCAGGGCCTGATGGCATTCGAAACCGGTATTGGAAACTGTTCCCCTGTGTCCAAACACCATTACTACACTGTTTTAATACTCTCGTGGACACAGGTGATGTTCCTCCATGGTTCTGCAAAGGTCGCACAATACTCCTTCCTAAGAAAGGAGACTTGACTGATCCCAAAAACTTCCGCCCTATCACATGTTTGAATACACAATACAAAATATTCACAGGGTGTTTGACAAACCTCGTGTCATCTTACTGCTCTTCCAATGATATAATTTACAGAGAGCAGAAGGGAGCAAGAAAAGGATGTTGGGGGGTGCAAGGATCAACTTCTTGTACAGAAAATGATTTTGGAAGAGGCTAAAGCATATCACCGCAACCTCTCCATGTGCTGGATTGACTACAAGAAAGCATACGACTCTGTCCCTCACGAATGGATTCTGAAGTCTCTTGATTGTATTGACCTCCCTGAGCGACTACTTGATTTACTCAAGTCTTTAATGAGTTGCTGGTCGACTCAGCTTGAGATGTACTCACAAGGGCAGGTGCAGACTTCGGAATCTATTCCAATCAGAAGGGGAATATTTCAGGGGGGATTCCTTTAGTCCTTTGCTTTTTTGTCTGTCTTTAAATCCTTTGAGCTTTCTGCTCAATAAAGAGGAGGGTTACCATCCCGGACCTCCTCAGCACAGATCCCCAACACCTCTTACTCATCTCCTTTACATGGATGACATCGAGCTCCTTGCCAAAGGAGATTCCAATTTGAAAGAGCAGGTTCTCCTTGTCGAGTCCTTTTCTAATGATATTGGCATGACATTTGGACTCGACAAATGTAATACTCTTCATTTGAAACGTGGCAAGGTAACTAATGATGGCTCGGTCAAGTTACAAGGGGGAGGAGTTATTGAGCATCTTGTGGAAGATCAGGCCTACACCTATCTTGGAATGCAAGTTCGAGACAAGCTCCAGGATGCCCAGATTCAAGACAAACTTCGGGCCGAGTATAAATCTCGTTTAAAGAAAATCTGGAGCTCAGAGCTAAATGCTCGAAACAAGGTCAAAGCCACCAATACTTTTGCTGTGCCAGTCCTTTCCTATTCCTTTGGAGTAGTTGATTGGACGAAACAAGACATCCAGAGTCTTGACCGTCTGACCAGAAGGATCATGTCTGATAACAGAGCCCACCACCCTCGTTCCTCTCTTAACCGTTTATACATGCCAATCAATTCTGGAGGTCGGGGTTTGATTAATGTGGAGGCTCTTCATGATAGAATTTTATTGTGTACTTTTGCACATATTTATTTATCAGATGATCCTCTAGTGATGCATGTGAAGACTCATGATGAAAGCAAGGAATTCCACAGCTATTTTAAGCGTGCCAAGGTTGTTGGACAGAATCTGAAATTTGAGGTTGACTTTGCTGATGGCAATGTACTGCTGGACGGTACAGCGATGGGAGTAAACCAGGTGAAGTCCTTTACCAAGTCTGCCCAGAGTCGGTCTTTGTGGAGAAGCTTTCTGAGAAGCCATTGCATCGTGTGTACATGCAGTGTGTTGAACAGAATAGCAATCCCACCGACTCCTTCGCCTGGATGAAGTCGGCTGGTCTTAAATGTGAAACTGAGGGCTTCCTTTTTGCTGCTCAGGACCAGTCACTTCCCACTCGTAATCGCCTAAATGTGATTCTTAAAGAGAATATTAACATGAAATGTCGACTTTGCAATGAATTTACAGAGACTGTCCAACACCTTGTCAGTGGATGCCCTTCCTTGGCACAAACAGCATATCTTAAACGACATGATGGCATGGCTCGTTGCTTTTACTACCGTCTCCGACATGCCTGTGGCTTTGACTCCGAGGTCCATCCATGGTACGACCCTGAACATGTCCAGGGCGTCATGGAAAATGATGCTTTCAAACTTCTGTGGAATAGGCCCATATACAGCCTCAGAAGAATTCCAGCTAACAAACCTGATCTTGTCCTTTTTGATAAAGCCAATGAATTTATTTATATCATTGAATTTTCTGTCCCTTTTGACACCAATGTGATTGGCAAGATTAAGGAAAAGCATGATAAATATGCGGACCTCGCCTTTGAAATGTCTCGCTTGCATCCCAAGTACACTGTCGTCAGGCTCCCCATTGTTCTCGGTGCCCTTGGTTTGGTACCTCCTGATCTCTTGGCGCAGATCAGGAGAGTGCCCGGGTTCTTCACCGGGAGCACAGCCCTTCTGACACTCTGGGTAATGCAGAAGGCTGCAGTGTTGGGGAGCCTTCATATTCTCCGGAAAGTTCTTGGTGGGTTCGACTAGGCAGCGTTTCCTGGGAGAAGTCCCATTCACTGTCTGGGCTGCGTGTAGAGGGGGGCAAGGGCCCTGAGCTGATGATGAGCCTTACCAGCCTGACTGTGCCAGGATCACCCGAACCCTCTCTGCTGCATACAATCTTTAATCTGTAAAACATAATAATAAGGGCCTGATGATGTATGCCTGTCCGTGGTGGGCCTAGATCAGGGAATTATATTCCCTGAACTCAACATACATCACCCAGTTAGGTCTGACACCCCGAAGCTGGTTTTTCACTGGGTTACCGACAAACAAGGAGCAAACCATCTTTTAACTTCGCAGCCCAGTCAGCTGGGCTGCGGGGCTGCCCAACCA